CATGTCTATGGTTTCCTTGAGTCTCAAAATACACAAAATTTTGGAAATAAAAATCTGGAATGTCATAGGTACATTCAAACGTGGATGGAGAAATCCAATAAAAGAATTTACATGGCCCCTTATATTAATGCGTAAGTTGAACTACCTCAAATTAGCTATTAAGTAACTAATTCCAAATCACTAATTAAATTTCTTGTTTAACATGTCTCATTGGCAATTGATGATTATTTATCCAATGGACAATAGTGTTGTTTTTTTATTCTCAATGCACAAGAACATTCACCATGAAAAATATAGTACACATGTATGTGGTAGTTATAAAAAATAATGTATTATTTATGTCATCAAATTTGTTGTAAACGACTAATGACTTATCGTTTTAGTGTTATGAATGTCCACGTTATGTTGGTAGGTAAATCCACTTCATCTTCACATAACTTCCAAGTGATTGCTCCTAAGGTGTTAGTTTCCATTAAGCCTATTTTATATCTTGTATTATTTTTTTACATATTAATTACTTAAAATTTCATGTCTTAGTATAATAAGCAACAAGGAAGTTTTGAGTGTGGATACATTGTTATGTACTATATGTAGACCATAGCACATGTTGGTCTTAAAGATTCTTAGGATGGGGTAAAACATCAAAAGATTAATCTTTGATATATGTTGTTATGAAATAACTAATATACATTACTTACTCCAGTTTTTTTTTACAATGTTGAACCATTAGGTATGAGACAATTGAAGAAATTAGGACTAAATGAGTCAAATATTTCTTGTAGCATAAAAATTAGTTTATATGTATCTTTCTTTTTTGTTTATTTAGTATTAATTGTGTCTTTATTATTTAAGACAAATTTTGGTAAAGTTCATTGTTGAATTTGAATTATAGTCCATTTTTTTCTAATTATGTCTGTCTATGACTGTAATGTGTTATTGTAATTGTAAACACAAATTTATAAATAAATAGCACATATTATGTTGGCGGGCATTATTTGATCTAATACATCACGTATGAGATTAGTTAGTGTCATAACCAATCTAATACATCTTTCGAAAAATATTGTTTTTTCCTTTTTAGCTAAAGGTATATATCACATCGATTATACAACCGATCTAATATATCTAAGACATATTACATCGATGTATATATGTTCCAAAATCAATTTAATATATCTTTCTTGCACTATTGTCATGCAAATAATTCTGTATGTAACATTATTTATAGATTTTTTTTTATCTGTAAATTTATTCATGCCTGTTTAATATAAGTATTTTTTTTTATGTGAATAATATATGGACAATATCTAATTACTTATGGATTTTATACATTACAAGTAGATTTTGGTTGTGGGAATTTTTTTTTGTAGTTAACAATTTTTTATATTTTTATTTTTCTTTTTCAACTTGTTCACATAAGTATAATTTTATCACTACTATTGTATAAGTATATTTTATTTACTATAATATAATAATTTAATATCACAGTCATGAATCTTATTTATCTCCATCAACATGGACTGAAATTCAACAAATGAAACATTTATGTTAATTTTAAATTATTATTATTAATTTAATATTTTTTAATTGTGTGATTTCATTTAACTGTTATAATATAATATTTATTAGTGTAAAAAATTATATTTCATTAAAAATTTAGAGCAAAAAGGAAAGAGACCTTTGAAATATTTTTAAACTTGAATGTTTGTTTTTATTTTATAATTTCTTATAAATACTTTTTTAACTTTATCAACTTTGTTTCATTAATTTTTGCAATATTAATAAATATTTAGATTGTCTTGAAATTTTATTTCTGTATAATTGTATAATATTTTATATAATTATTTTACTTTTATGCAATTGTTATCTAATACTTTAATTTGAATTCTTACAATTATAATTTCTTTTTAAATATTTAACATTCAAAATATTATATGTCTTTTTGAATATTTTGATAATATCGTATCCTTTATTGTGTTTATAAAACCTAATTAAGTAATATTAAAATAATAAAAAAAAAGCGATTACGGGGTCTGAGTATGCCTATTACTCAGTAGAAATGAGGATAAAACAAAAAGTTTATATCCATTATATATAGATATAGAAATATAAATGTATAGTTTCTTTTGAGAATAAAATAATGAAACTCATCACATCTATTTTGTTGTCATCCCTTATAATATTTACTTTTATGTAGATTTAGAAAAGCTCCTCAAATAAAACATCTACGTCAGATTAAATCTTATTCGGATTGGGTCAAAGTTAATAGTAATGGTTCTATAAGAGGTAATCCTAATTAAATTGTCACTAAAGAAATTTTCAAGAACCATAGAAGTAAATATTTCGAGAGTTTCTCAACTTAGTCTACAATACCTTATATGCTAAAGTGTAAAAATTCATTGCTAAGAAGATTTCCAAAGATAGGTTGGAGTGTGATTTTATTTTGGTGTGTCAAGCCTTTGGTAATTCTACCATTGTGCCTTGACTTTTAAAGCTTGTTGAGAAATTTTTTTGAAATTGTACAAACATTAAGTTTGAGGTTTCACACATTTTTCATCAAGGTAATATGGGTGCTTATTTACTTGCTAATATAGAAGTAAAGAATAAGTCTTTTTTTTTCTTGGGTTTGAGTTTTTACCCTTTGGTTTTTTTAGAAACAAAAATATTTACAGAATCTAGGTTTTGTTAGCTTTTTTGGTATGTGATAACCCTTTTTCTAGTATGGGTTTGCTTCGTCACTGTGTTTATTTGTACCGTTTTTATCTCTTCTTTCACGGATGGTCATAAGAAGGCAAAAAATTGTTGAGATTTGAAAGTGTCAATCTAGTTGAAATGGTAAAGCTTAGTAGAAATGTTTATCATGATTTTATAAAGAATAATTAATAAGATGGTTGGTTGATATCTTAAGGGGTAGAGACAGTGTTGGAGAGAAGCAGTAACATTTAGGTGTAAATAAAGAAAGGCACGTGCGGAATGAGGAATGAAATATTAATTGATAAAAAAATGGATAGGAAATGTTGTGGGCTTAACGCGGAGAAGAGAGGGAATCTGCACGTGACAGAGGGAATGGATTATAGAGATGCATGGGGTTGGATTGGAATTGGCAGTAGCGGAAGAAGGCACGAAGGGATTCCATTCCATCATAAGCATCGATAACTGCGAAGGATGCGTCAAACGTTGTTTAGCTGTCAATCCCTCCAAACCCCTCTCACGGGGCTCCCATTCATTCCACTCCACTCTTTTCTCCCAAATACCCTTTCCCACAACAATACTTAATATTAAAAGTATTTCATTGCACCTGTCCTATATTTCTATGCTAAATTATGATGATATTTTAGATAATAAATTCCAATTAAAATTATAAAATTGATTTACACTCACTTGTATTTATATTTTTCATCAATTTAATATCTCTAACATATTTTCTTATCAAGGGCGTTGAAAAACTTAAAATAAAATTAAAAGTGAGACATTTTTATTTATTAAAAAATATTATATTAAATGGTATTATAACTTTATTTAAAAATTTATTTTTTGAATTTTTTGAGGCATTTTTTATAGGTTTAAAAAAATTAATACTAAAAAAAGTTAAGAATTTTTTTTTAGGTCTAAAGTGAGAAATTTAGTCTTGAGTAAGCTCTATTCACATATATATTTGAACCGTGACACTAAATATTTGTAAGAAATCTGATAATAACTTAATTAGATGAAATAATAAATTTAACAAAATTTTGATAAAATAAGTTCTAACATGACTTTCATATTATATTAAAAAATGAATTTTACATTTAACTCGATCTTACGAAATCAAGTTGTAAGATGACTTATATATAATAAATTTATCACATAATATTTACCTATATTAAGAAAAATAATTAGTGTGTCTTTATATTATATTATGAGGAAGCAATAAAATGAAGTGGTAGATATAGGTTGCTTTCACAGAACGAGCTCTTGGTAAAAAGGACAGAAACATAAAAGAAAAATATCTAGAGAGCAATTAATTCCATGTTGCTTAGAGTGAAATTAAATCAAAACTGGATATGAATGTATATATTATCAACATAATCATGAATTTTTATGTGAAAAGGGTGAACAAAATAGTGAGTAAACTAGTTACTCTTCCTTAATAATTTCGTACAATGTGAGGCTGAACTCTATATCTTGCTCTATGACTTTCGTCATATTAATTAACCTAGCTAGCCTCTTGATTTCAACGCATGTTTGAGAGTTTTTCCTTTTCTCTCCATGTTTATGTGAGACATTGGTAGTTTAAACAACTATACAAAGCAGTCCTTAAAAAGGAAGAGAAAAAAGTGACTTATAAGAAAGTTTACGAATGAGGCACTGACATTTGCATTTAGTTGTTTGTGATTAGTGACACCCTAATACTTTGGCTTTATATACTTGTCTAAGTCCTTGGGACTAGAATCTTGAATAGGATGTATCATAAAGGAAGATCAATAACAACAACATCTGTGGAAAAGAAAACAGAAAAAAGAAAAACTACATTGTGTTATCGTGCATGTTTCTAAACATGATATATATATATATATATATATATATATATATATATATACATATATGTATATATATATATATATATATATATATATATATATATATATATATATATATATATATATATATATATATATATATATATATATATTTATTTTTTTATTTGTTTAAAATTTTACTTTTTTTTATATACATATATTGGTGTATAAGAGATATATATATATATATATATATATATATAGGTGATGAATCTTCAAATATTCTACCAATTTGCATTTGTACATAAATTATTATTTCGGTAGCATTTCGTATATATTAATTTCTTCTCAAAAATCCTATATACGGTAAGGCCAATTTCGTAATTCAGTTTTCAAAAGCATAATTTGTTGTGGGGGATATGTAGGTAGTCGTGAGGGAAACAAACAAGAGATTACAAATATTATTTACACCAACCTTCCTATATATATATAAAAAAAAAACAGCCCCTAAGCCTCAGATGGGAAAGGAAAGGCATCAAGAAACCAAAACCCAAAATCAATCAGAAGAAAGTTGGAAGAATCATGGATTCTAGGAGGCGTAGAAATATGCAACGCAAGTTGCAACAACTTCGATCGGTCACAAACTCCAGTGCTGTAATTCATTCGCTCTTCACAATGATTATAATATATATATATATGATGCATGTTAACTTTGGCTTGCTACCTTCAAAGCTTGAATCAAGAACCTCATCAGTTTCTACTTGTTTTTGCTTAATCTTGCAGGTTAACAAAGCCTCAATTATTGTGGATGCCACAAGATACATAGAGGAGCTGAAGCAAAAAGTCGATGGATTGAACTCTGAGCTTGGAACCGCTGAATCATCAATCTCCCAAGGCGAATTACCCATGGTACTTACTGTTTATATATACATACATACAAATATATATATATATATATATATATCAGAGAAATCTTATTGAAGATTAAAAGGATATTACATCCTTTAAATGCATCAGTTATATTCTGTTTTTTTTTTCATACAATAATTACATGAACTTTTTGTATATATCTGCAAACATTTCACAGGTCACCGTAGAAACCCTAGAAAGGGGTTTCCTCATTAATGTGTTTTCTGAAAGGAATTGCCCCGGCATGCTTGGGGCAATTCTGGACGCGTTTGAAGAACTGGGACTCGATGTGCTTGATGCTAGGGTTTCTTGTGAAGACACTTTCCAGCTTGAAGCTGTTGGAGGAGAAGTAAGAAAATTAACACAACCATATAAATGATGATTTAATTCCTTTTTTTTCTATCTTAATAAGAATAGTTTAAATCATATAAATGATGATTTACGAAATTGATAGTGTTAATTCTTCTTTGAATTTTGTTAGAAAGAACCAAGTTTATAGTTCATGGAATGGCTAATGGGAGAACTGCAATATTCACTTCACCTGTGAAACTTATAAAATAGTTCGAAAAGGGGGAAAAAATCACGCATTGAGTTGTAAAATTTTGGTTTGAGCGACATACCTAAAATTCTAGCTTCAAAGTCCAAAGTACTGACATAATAATGAGTGTGGCTCCCATGTGTAGATTCGTTTAACCGTGTTGTGTAGTTGCATGGGCCTTGTATCAGCCAATAAAGCAAGAATAACGATACTATTATAGATAAATTTTATATGAAAAATTATACAATTTTAAGACAGGGATAAGAAGAAGAAACAGCAGCATTAGATAAGATAAGTGATGTGATGGAAAAAGATTAAAAAAAATCGAAAAACAAATTATTAGAGGGCGTTCCATTAAGCATATATACATAGAGAGGTACATTATCCATGTTTTGTCATGGAGTTACAGTGTTGATTTTGATGGGTTGTAACACTGAAAAACGTTTCGGTTTTGCAGAGTGAAGAGAAGGAAAGCATCGATGCACAAGTGGTGAAGCAAGCAGTGATGCAAGCAATCCAAAACATGGATTAATCAAAGGAAATTGTTCTAAGAAAGTAGCAGGCTGGTTCTATAAATCTTTGTATTAAATATTAAAAAGTTACGTATCCTAGTGAGAGAGTTGAAGTTTGATACTATATTCTGCCAAAATGTAAAGTACCTCTCAATGACCCTTACATGTGATGTGGCTTCTTCGTTTGTAGGAAAGAACAAATGGACAGGGATCGTCCAGGTTAATGGGTGTTTTAATTAGAATTCTAAGAAGTTTGGAAGAAAGGAAGAAAAAAATAATATTCTTTTTTGGGTTTCCAAGAAACACACTCATTGTCAATTTATGTTTATTAAAGTCTATTTAAGTTGTAATCTTCAATAGTTTTATTATGCTTGTTGCATTTTAGTCTGTCTGGGGTATATATAGTTAACCGGAAACTAACAAACCATACGAATTTAAAATTAAAGGTTGAATATGAAGGTTCTTTTCAATCATTATTTAAATTTTCCAACCTATAAAAAGTTGACACGATATCTCAAAATGTAATGTCCTTAAATATTACGTGGTTGCCTTTTTTTAATGGGGTTGTAGTGTTTGAAATTATTCATAATTTATTCATGAGATACCCGTGTGTAATGTTATTTTATATACTATGACAATGCATTAGAGTAAGGAATTAAAATATTATATGTTTAAATTCTTGTAATTCAAATATACGGTGTTTTACCTAATAATAGTAAACAGCTGTTCGAAATATACGTAAGGAAAACACAATGAGAGAAATGCGGCAAGAGAAGTTTGTGACAATATATATATTATATATATATATATATATATATATATATATATATATATATTATTGTCTTTATTTTTGAATTTGTTGAAAATTTCACATCTTTTAAAGATGAGATTAATTTACAAATGCAGATTTTATCTTTAAACTCAGTAGTATATAATTGAATTAGAATTAAAATCATATATCAAAAAACAAAAACAAAAATCTTTGAGATTATATATAAGGCATATAATGAAGGTTATCGGAACAATTCCAAGGAGACACTTTGTGAAGTCAAATTAATTATGTCATATATCTTTATAGTATTTTACATTTTTATTTTAAATTTCTTTCTATGACCTCAATAATAGTATTTTATACTTTTATCTATTGGTCATTAAAAGAATTTTAAAAAATTCATATAATTTAAAGTTATTGTCATTATATACTTACCGATATATATAATTCCGATGTGAGACATTTTGATTTTCTCAAGTTTTTATTGCATTTTACCCAAATTTTCTTTTCATGCATAATTGAGTTTGGCTCTTGTTTCATGTTTGAAAATGAACAAAAAGTGTTTCAGTTTTTTACTATTTCATTCTTATGTAAACTATAATTATTTTAAATAGAGAAATAGTATTTATTAAAAAAGTATTACAACAATTTAATGACAAGTAACTCTTTTTTCTGTTCATACATTATCTTTATTATTCTACATTTATTTTTTTTATTTATGAACATGTGCGGTAAAAGAAAAGGAGAAAATAAAACATGTATATATAGATATTATTGTAGAAAATTATGATGTAAACATAAAAGAGGACAACTAAAACAAAGATTTATACTAATTTAGCTCTTGAGTTTAGGCTATATATTGAATGTTTATTATCTTGTATAAGATGTTTATTCTTAACTCTCTAAATACTTTCCCACTATTATTTTTCTCAAATTCTAAATGAAGCACATTCTTCTCAATAGCTTTCTAAAATTTAATGAAAAAGATTTTAAATTATAACATAAATATTTAAGAAAAAAATTATTATGGTAGAAAACTTCTGTCTTATAGCAACTACAGATGAAGCGGTTTTATCAATCAACAAAAAGAGATAGGAAAAAAGTAGAAATATAACTTAAGAGGAAAAATATAAATATAACTTTAGACCTTTAATTTTAAAATCACCATAGTAGCAAACTTAAATTATCTTTTACCTTATAGAGTAGAAGAAGACGACAAGAGCAAAGAGAAGAAAATGTAAGAAATTCCTAGTCATTACAAGAGTGATAGAGTATAGTGACAAAAGTTTTCAAAAGGGTTTTCTTAAAGTGGACCTAAAACACTATATAAATAGAAGGGTGTTAAAAAGGCCCACAATGTCAAATAAAAAATGTTCCAACTAGGCCCAAAATAAATTACTAAACATATTGTGATATTATATATAACTTATATATTTAAACTATTTATATGTATCTTATATTACATTTATACTGTATACATTATGTTAGAATACACATTCGTTCTTTTAAAATGATTTTCATTATTTAAAAATGAGTTTTAGTGTGCGTGCGCTCGTGCGTGAGAGATCCGTCTTTTGAGTTAAATTTAACGTTATTTTGTTTTACCTTTTATAATATTTTACTAATATTTTGTTACTTATATTGCAGTAAAAAAATAGTTGAAATAAATTACTAGTTCATCTTCCAAGTCAGTACTCTATAATATAACTATGTCTTTTCCTCTTTCATCCAAATATGTAATTATTTATTTTCTATATCATCATTTTCATTCAAATAATACATTATGCATCGGATATTGAGAAATAATATATATATATATATATATATATCAGAGAAATCTTATTGAAGATTAAAAGGATATTACATCCTTTAAATGCATCAGTTATATTCTGTTTTTTTTTTCATACAATAATTACATGAACTTTTTGTATATATCTGCAAACATTTCACAGGTCACCGTAGAAACCCTAGAAAGGGGTTTCCTCATTAATGTGTTTTCTGAAAGGAATTGCCCCGGCATGCTTGGGGCAATTCTGGACGCGTTTGAAGAACTGGGACTCGATGTNCTTAATATATAGAAAATATATTAATTTAGTTGTGACATTCACTTTCTTATCAAATTAGTATATTCAATAGTTAATAAATGTAATAATTTAATTTTGATAATTATTTTTTATTGTTAGTTTAAATATATTATTCGAATTAATATCAAACTAAATTACAATATTTAGAGTTTTATAAGTGCTAAAACAATTTATATATATATATATATATATATATATATATAGATATAGATATAGATCTAGTACCATGGTCTAAGCCAACTTTGGTGGATGTAATTATGAGGGTCTATTTAAAATTTTATAAGCCCTATGATTTTAAAATGTTGCCAACGAACCCAGAATCATGTAGTGAAAACAACGAAATTGCAAAAATTAATGAATTTAAAAAAAAACACATAGTTGCCATTATTATTGCACCAAAAACAACATGGGCAAATTTCAGTGAACACAGTAACATAACTAGAACAGAGTTTGAAGTTAATACATAATGATACAAAGAACACTCACATAAGTGTTCATCACCCTTTGATTTATTTAGTTCTTCAACACAATCAGATATAGTACATACATACACCTTCCACTTTTTTTCTTCTCCGGATCAATTAGCCATCACCTGATCCTGCAATATTGTGTAACCTATTAAACAATCAAGTAAAATAACTAAAGAATTTAAACTGATAAAACTATCTAACTCCATTGACGGTAATAATAGAAAATAAAAATAGAAAATAAATGAAAGATTCATTACTCTAAATGTATTGAATGTTTTATATTCACTGTGAGTCAATTTCATTAAACAAAGGGATGAATTGAAACTTTTATAAAAACATAATTCACTGTGACGCTTGCAGGTTTTGACAAGTCTTCGACGTGGGTGTAGGGTGGACATAAGCCACCATGGTCCACGTCTTTTGTTTATTCTTTGTAAACCTCTCACTTTATCCTTTCACTGCATTTTGATTTCCCCATTTGCAAGCCACCACCAAACCAACCAGCCACCGACTGAATTAGCAGCCATCAAACCAGAAAATCGTTGAACCAATTGATGAGAAACCTGCTTCTAACATGTTCTTATTGTTAGAAAAGGAAGAGAACGAGGGTTTGAACCTAGTGCGCCTAACTGAACGGTTTATGATGCATAGTGCGCCTGACCGAACGCTAATGCTAATGCTTCTGCACCAAACGCTAAGAACACACACCAATAGAGCACTGCCGCACTGACGTCAAAGAACGAACCAGCAGGGCACGAACAGCACCAAACGGTCAAGTACCGTTGCACTGCACGGTCAATTAAGTGACCAGAGAAAGAAAAGAGCAAAACTCTAAACGCATTGAAAACGTTGTATTATTCACTCATCTCACTTAAAAAATCAACACTAAAATAGGTATAGAAGTTCAGTATTTATAATAGGAAAAATATAACTGCCAAGACAGTTAAACAACAGTTGCCTTGGCTAACTAACTAACTGACTCGGTTTACACTCTAACACTCCCCTCTAAGTCGAGCACCTAGGGAGGTAGCACTCATCCTCGCCAGCCTACCTCACGCAGCGTTGAGACCGAACGGTGTGTTCGGTGACACATAGAACTGCACTTGCCACTTCGTTGAGCAACTGTCCCTGCCAATCACGTGGCGAAGGCGATGCCAATTTAAGCGAGCTGTGCGACCAAGATCGAACGGTGCGAAAGAGCGACTGAGTGACGTGACCGAACGGTGTGAGGGCACAAACTGAGTGCGCGGTTTCCAGTTTGACGCTCCATAGCGACACCCCACTCGGTTGAATGAATGTTGTGGTCGGGTGTTTTGGTGTTCGTCATGTCTCGGTTCACCTGTGACTCCCCATCCCTCTTTGGCAGCATTCCCTTCAACGCTTTTCTTCTTCCCAGCTGGAAGGTCAACTAACTTCCAGATTTCATTCTTCCCAATGGAATCAACTTCTTCTCTCATTGCATCCCTCCATACGGATTTCTTCAAGGCTTCTATTTGACCTATCGGTTCTGCACCTGCAAACATATCTATGTGTACCAGATCCTCCTCATCACTAGTCTGTGTAATAGTATTCACCTCACATTCACGAAACCTCTGTGGCAGCTTGTGTCTCCTTCCTCTACTTCTAGATTGCACATCCTTACTACTTTCAGAATTTAATTTTGGCTCTACTGTATTGCAAGATTCTCTACACATCTTAGACTTCACTAGGCTGATATGAAATGTTCTATTCTTCGAGATCTTGCTTCTCAAGATTAGGTTTTTGGTTTTATCAAACAACTCAACCTTATTGAAGTCTCCCATTACTACTGTAAAACCCTTTTGAATTAATTGGCCAATACTCAGAAGATTGCACCTCATTGCAGGCACAAATAACACATTAGTTATAGTGGAACTCGAGCCATTCTTCCTTCTGATAACAACATCACCAATTCCCTTTACCTTTAAGGTGTTGTCTTCAGCAAATTTCACCCTACTC